AACAAATCTGTGTTGGAAGATGTACGGCCATAATGCTCCTTAGACACAAGGATGGCTAGACTTCATCTTCCATACTTCGGACATGTTACCAGGAGGGACCAGTTCCTGGAGAACTACATCATGCTTGGTAAAGTGGAGGATCAGCAAAAAAAAAAAAGGAAGACCACCAGTGAAATGGATTGACAAAGTGGCAGCAGTTATGGGTTCAAATGTAACAAAAATGTCAAAAGACCAGTCAGTGTTTTGTTCTGTTGTGCATAAGTTGCTATGAGTTGGAACCATCTGGGTGGCACCTAACAACAACAACCTATTAAAAATTATAAGAATTAAATGAATTAATAAGTGTAAAGCCTTTAGATCCATGCCTAGCACATAGTAAGATCTGCATAATTGCTTGATATTAGCATTAATTCATTCAGTATGCATTTTAAATTGTTGGATACCAGTGTGATAAACAAAGCAAAAAATTGGGTCTCACCATCACCCAACTTATATGGAGAAGACATACATTCCGCCTAAGTAAGTACTTAGTTACAAATACTACCATGTGCTGCAAAGGAAAGGAATACATTTTGAGAAAGAATTCTGAAGGAGGACCTCTTTTGGACTGGGAACATGGGCAAGTCTTCAATAAAATGATGTTGCATCTGAGAACCAAAGCATATTAGCCAGGACTCCGTTTCAAAATGTTGAAAAATTACTGAAATGATTCAGAATTTTCAAATGATGAGAAAACTCCAGCTAGCTTAAGCATAAGAGAGAATTTTTGGATCGCTTAACTGAAAGTCGAGGAATGGAACTAGCTGACATTAAGCCCAGCCGAATCTTTGGTCTTAAACAGAGTTATGGTATGTCTAAGCTTCTTGTTCCCTTTTTTAGTCCTCTGTCTCAATCTCTTATTCTTTCTTTGGTTACTCTGTTGATCCCATTCTCAAGCAGGTTTTTCATAATGGGAAGATGATGTCCTGCATTTCCAGGTATAAAACTCTGCATCTTCACCAAAGAAGTGTGCGGCTCTTTTCACACAGTTCTGCAAGCTTCAGACTCTCCTTACCTTGACTTGAGTCACATGCTCATCACTGACTAGTGTGGTCATAGGACTTTGATGTTGTTTTGTTTTCCTTTAGGAGTAGTAGATTTTGGAGCAGAGAAAAAGGTTCATTGTCTACTGCATAAAGGTGAGAGAGAGAAAGAGTTAGCTAAGCAAAGAACGAGTGGGAAAAAGTATTCTAGGCAGAGAGAGCAGTGTGTGAAACCCAGAGAAAGGGAAGAAGTACAAGAAAGGAAAGATGGCCTAGTAGGTAGACCACAGGTTGCAAGAAGTAGACTGTCAAAAGATGTGGAAAAGTAAGCTGGGGTCAAAAATTATGTAAATCCTACTAAGGAGTCTGGGTGTGGTGCTGTGGGTTAATGCGCTAGACTGCAAAGCCATTTGAACTGCAAGGTTGGCGGTTCAAGCTCACCAGCTGCTCCTCAGAAACCCTGTAATGGATCACTATGGGTCAGAAATGACTCAATGGCACTTAACCACAACAACACTAAGGGTCTTATATTTCCTTTTCTAGTGCCAAGTAAACCCATGGAGCGGTTCTGCTCTGTAACACTTTGGGTTGCCTCAATGGTCTTTTTCTTTTCTTTTCCTTTCTTTTTAAAAAGAACCTTTGAATAAGGTTGAGAGTTGGACATGGGAAAGGCCATGAATAAGGAAATAATTGCCAGTCCCAAATGGTAGCTGCAGGCACCAAAGGATGAGCCTGCCACACCTCTCAGAGAACAAAGATGACTAACAGCTTCCTAAAATATTAAAGGAACTTTCCATGAGGACTGTTAAACTAGCCAGCACCTTTATTCCCCAGATACATTTTTTTTAAAAAAATTAATAAATAAAGAGGCAAAGCTCTGCCAAGCTAGATCCTGGTTTTGGAGAGAGGCGAGGCGAGGCTTCCACGTTGCTCCCACTTTCCACACAGAGCTCTGGGCCGCTCCCTTCCCTACAGCTTCTCTGCTTTTTTTCTCTCATGAGGTTCTCCCTGCCTTATGGAGTCAGCTCCAGGGAACCCATGGAGGTATGGGGGTGCTTCCTCAGTGCCCATGGTTGCCCCTGTGCCTTACATCCTGTACATGCTATAGTGACAATTTTTGCAGCAGAGATCTCAGGCTTTGCAAATCTACCAGAAGATTTGGATATCTGTGACTAAGAATACCCCAGTCCTTAATTACACCCCACATCTGCTGAGGAAATGAAATGAAAAGTGGTTCATGTAGAGAATTTTGATTGCCTTTAAAAATAGAGGCCTTGCTTTCTTTAAATTAAGTTTTTCAAGTATAAATAGAGAAACTATTGGTGAAGGAAGCCCTGGCAGGATATCCTATGCAGGGATACCTAGCTTAGCCTTTCTACAGATAGACTTACTGTGTGCCAGGCTCTGTTCTAGGCTCAGGGGGCTAGTCACAGTCCTGTACTTACAGAGCTCACAGTAGATAATAATAATAGACCGAGTACATTATGTAATATTTGTAAGGGTGGCAAGTATTGTACAAAAAAGGAAAGGACAGTGAGGTCGATTAGGAAGGCTGGACTGAGACAGTGTCTCTCTGAGCTCTCTAACTTACAACAGATACAGTAAGTATGGACGAGAATAGAGTTTGGCAAACAGAAGCTACCCAGGAAAGTTAATTTTGTTCTGCTTTAATGTGCCTGAAAATTCACATTCATGAGAGTTTGAACGTCAGCATTTACACTCAGCAGACAAATGACAGCTGAAGACTGAACAAAGGTCAACAATATTAGGAAACCACCACTACAGTTAGAAGCTTATTTTCAGTTATATAATAGAGGGCAACTTAAAAAATCAGATTAAATGATGTATATTTATGGTTATGCCTTTCATTAGGAGGAAATTCAAGACTGTGTAACTTGCATATGCCTATAAAATTTAAGATCATAAAGACTGAAGTAAGTGCGGGTCCTATTAAAAATATATCTTAATCTGGGTGGGAGTTACACCAGTGATACATCTGAAAAAATTCGAGTTACAGCTTAAGATTTGTACATTTCTAGTTGTTGTTGTTGTTAGGGGCCATCGAGTTGGTTCAGACTCATAGTGACCCCTATGCACGATACAATGAAACATGGCGGGGACCTGTGCCCCCCTCACAATTGTTGCCTTTGAGTCTATTGCTGCCGCTACTGTGTCATTCCGTCTCCTTGGGGGTCTTCCTCTTTTTGCTGACCCTCTCTTTTACTGACCTTCTCAAGGGAATGGTCCTTCCTAGTAACACATCCAAAGTATGAGAGATGAAGACTCACCATCCTGACTTCTAAGGAGCAGTCTGACCGCACTTCATCCAAGACAAATTTGTTTGTTCTCTGGCAGTCCATGGTACTTTCAACATTTTTCTCCAACAACCACAGTTCAAATGCATCAACTCTTCTATGGTCTTCCTTATTCATTGTCCAGTTTCACATGTACATGTTGTTGTTGTTAAGTACTATGGAGTTAGTTCCAATTCATAGTGACCCTGCACAGGGTTTCTGAGGCTGTAAATCTTTACGGGAGCAGAAAGCCTCATCTTTCTCCCACAGAACAGCTGATAGTTTTGAACTGCTGACCTTGAGGTTAGCAGCCCGATTCGTAACCACTATGGTACCAGAACTCCTTACATGCACATGAGGCAATTGAAAATACCATATTTTGGATCATGGTTTGATATCTTTGCTCTTGAACACATTAAAAGAGGTCTTTGCTCCAGATTTGCTTAATGCAATACATCGTTTGATTTCTTGACTACTGCTTCCATGACTGTTGATAGTGGATCTAAGCAAAATGAAGTCTTTGACAACTTCAGTCTTTTCTCCATTTGTGTTGGTCTAGTTGTGAGGATCTTTGTTTCCTTTGCTTTGAGGTGTAATCCATACTGAGAGCTGTAGTCTCTGATCTTCATCAGTAAATATTTTAGTCCTCTTTGCTTCCAGCAAGCATGGTTGTATCATCTGCATATCCCCCAATCCTGAGGCCACGTTATTCTTCATGCAGCCCAGCTTCTCAGCATACAGATTGAATAAATATGGCTCAGCATACAGATTGAATAATTATGGCAAAAGGATACAACTCTGCCTCACACCTTTCCTGATTTTAAACTAAGACTTGTACATTCCTAGTATGTGTAAATTATATTGCAGTAAAGGAAGATGTGAGTACAGTTAACATTGAACTTAGAGATGTAGCCATTCTGATGTCTTCCACCCAAGGAGGCACTTGCTCCTGATCTCATGCAGGACAGACTCTCAAGACATGGGCACAGAGTTGGGATGGAGAAGTCTGTGTTGTGAAGAAACCGAGACATGTAGAAGATGGGCATGAGTCAACCTTTGACCCCACTGCTCTTATTGTGGTACCTGCCTCTCCTTGAGGGTCCTGGGTCAATGGAAGAACAAAATATCCACCCAGGAAATAACCAGAGAGGTAGTCCAGGCATAGTCACTGGTTGATCTCAGGGTTAAAACTCTTATTCCTGATGAGCAAGATGCATCTTCCCTGATTCACGGCATCCATGACAGGATACACAGGGTCATGGAATCATCACAGGCTAGGTGGAAATGCCTATTCTCATCCAAGGAGACAGACTGAATAAACATGGTACCTCCCTTTCATCTCTCTTTCTATCTCTCATTCTTTAGGTATGAATCTCTATGACTCCCTCTGACACACAAGACTCATCCAAGATTCTACACCTATCTGACAAACTATCAGAGTATACTCCGAGACCCAGCAATCCACATGTCCCCATATACACAAGCTGGTAGACACTTCACATCTTGAACCCTCAGAAATGTTAGTTGTTTGTTTGCATTTTGAATAGAAAAACATGCCCCTCAGGAGGTTTGTCTCTAGGCATGGTTTGAGGGTGTTGCTGCAGGGACCTAACTAAGAGAGCACACAGGTGGTAGGTACCTTCCTTCCAGGAGTTCTCACTGGGCTGCTTCCTGTCCTCCATAGGAGGCGGTGTCACACGGCCCGGAAGAAGACCAGTTGGCCCGAATCCAAAATGTCATCCAGAAGCTTCCTCCATCCCATTACAGGTAAGAATCCTTGTTGTAATTAACTTCTTAATGTGATGATGCTAAAGAAGTAGGTTGGCATCAAAAAATGGGAATAATTCAGTGGGCAGTGACTTCCCTGAGCATTTCAAGGTTGGTGCTTGACTAGGTACATAACTCCATCTCCTAGTCACTTACAGGCATTCCTATCACACAAACTTGCCTCACGGTGACATCCTATGGCACTTGGTTCTCATAAGGATCTATAGCATAACCAAATTTATGGAAACCAAGAAGGCTTTTTTTTTTTTTTAATTAAATGTTTTTATTTTGGATTGAGTGAAAGTTTACAGGGCACATCATCAGCTTCACATTCAACCAACCATTCATATAGCTTGTTTCATTACATTGATTATTATCCCCTCCATATATAATCAGTTAACAGTGTTTCTCTCTATCCTCTTTAGCTTTTTTTTTTTTTTTTGGGGGGGGGGCAAGGAGGCTTTTACACAGATTTTGACAGTAGTTCTTGAGCATCTGACTGATGTGATGGATCGCTCTATGTGTTAATCAGTACCATTCCTTACGTCATCTATCCTTTCACTTCATTCCACATTTAGCCCCTAATTTCACCATCTTCCCTATGCCTACATGTCTTACATAAGGGGGCAGATTCTGATGTGGCATAAAACAAAATTATATATGTTTTTAACTTTCTATAGATATTATTCACTAAATGAAATTAGATCCCTTGAGAACAGAGCTTCAAATCAGTTTGAACTACCTTAGTCAATGAAGCAAAATTTGGCCAATGAAGCAACTTAGTCAATGAAGCAAAATTGGAACCGACCAGAATTTGTAAAAATTTGGGTGATGTGGGACAATAATTAGAAAGGGAAGAATTATGGGTTGAAACCCTAGAGTGGAAGATTTGGAAGACACATAGCGAGTCCTTTCAGGAACTTGATGTAGGAGGTTGAATTACTGACAGGGCTGTGAAGAGTGACATCTTTGAGCAGGGTACCATTGTTTCTGATTCTACCAGTCAAGAGGTGTGCTTGCTCTGTGACACACACACTACTCTTGTTTTCTAAGAGGGAGATTATGCTCCTAATCTTTCCTGTTCCAGTGCTCATTCCACTTAATTCACATTTTATCAATTTTATCAATTCAGATCTGGACTGATTTTACTTTACTGTCCATAACTGAAATGGGAAGAACCAGTTTGAAGCCCTACTGGAGAAATATCAAGTTCCTTGTAGCTGGACCAAACCTAAAAGAACCCACTGCTTTTGAGTTGAATTCCATATCCTAGAGACCCTATAGGACCTAGTAGAACTCTACCATAGAGTTTCCAAGGTTGCAAGTCTTGGAAACTGTCACATTTTTCTCCCATGAAGCAGCTGATAGTTTCAAACTGCCAATCTTTTGATTAGCAAGTGAACACTTAACCACTGTGTTACCAGAGCTCCTTTGTAGCTGGAAGCGTTTTTAAAAGAGCTTAGATAAGAGCCAATTTCAAACTGTGTGGAGGAGATTTTGCCTTGGCTAGGAGGAGGAACAAGTAGCCTCTAAGAACCCTCAGGCTGGGAGGTGCTTTGATTCTGATTCTGTGTCTGGCTGGTGCTCCACGGGCTTTAGCTGACTTCTGACAAAGTCATCCTTCTTTCCTACTTCTAACCAGCATGCCTAGAACCAAGAAAATTACTTCCATCAATCTTGATATCTTCTTGATATTCCTCCAAAGTTCACAAGATAGAAATATTTAGTTTCTTAAATCCAGACTTAGGGAATTATCTCCTGATGTCCAGCTTTACAAAGACACTGACTTTTCTTACTTTGTCAAAAAATATTAACATTACAGGACCTTGAAATACCTGATTGAACACCTGGCCCACATTGCCTCTTTCAGCAACAAGACCAACATGCATGCCAGGAACCTGGCCCTGGTATGGGCTCCAAACCTCCTCAGGTAACTGCCACACCTTCACCCCTCACCACTCCAGTAGACTCAAGTAGTCCACGGATGAAACAAAGATCAAGTTCTTCAAAATTGAAGCCCCATTAAGACAAACTTGTAGCTAAGTGGTTACCTGTAGCATTCACGTATTAATTCAAGGTAATTTTAATAGCCTAAGCTCTTTGCCTGATCTTCCGGAAACTCTGTGTTTCAATGTCATTTTTCCGGCTACAACTGGGATATGACTACAATTATGGGTCCTTACATTATAATTTCTTTGAAAGGCCTTTCTTGTCTTTAGGGCTCATTGGTTCTTCTTGATTTTGGTGGGGTAACATCTGGCTATTACCTGAAGCTATTCTTCATGTAGCTTCATAAATGAAGTTGGGTGAGTAGAGAAAGCAGAGCTTAAGAAGAAAAAAACAACCTGTTTATGTATACTCACCAATATAGCATTTATATTTTTGCAGTACAAGAGCCTATATGTTATACCTAGTAACTGTTTCAAATTTGTTTAGTGTGTTGGGCTTCACAGCCTTTGTAGAGTTCTTTCTAAGGAAAACCAAACCAAACTCATTGCCATCAAGTCAATTCAAACTCATGTCAACCCTATGTGCTATAGAGCAGAACTATTCCTAGGGTTTTCTTAGTAGGTGTGGCGCTGTGGACTACTGTGCCAGACTGCAAAGTCATTTGAACTGTGCAAGGTCAGTGGTTCAAGCTCACCAGCTGCTCCTTGGAAACCCTATACAGGGTCGCTATGGGTTGGAATTGACTCAACGGCACTTAACAACAACAACAACCTTCACAAATGCAGATTACTAAGCCTTTCTTCCAAGGTGTCCCACCAAGTGAAACCCACTGCTATCAAGATGATTCCAACTCATAGCGATCCAACAAGGACAGAGTAGAACTGCCCCATAGGATTTTCAAGATTATAAATCAGTACAGGAGTAGACAGTCTCATCTTTCTCCACCACTGACTGGTGGGTTTGAACTACCAACCTTGTGGTTAGCAGCCCACTGCTTAACCCACTGCACCATCAGGTCTCCTTTTCAGTTAGTAGTTGAGTGCAAACCATGTGCACCACCAAAATCAAAAATCCAAATTTAGGGAATTATCTCCAGATGTCCAGCTTTACAAATTTCTTGTAGCTGGACCAAACCTAAGAGAACCTACTGCTTTCCAGTCAAAATCCATCTCATAGAGACTCTATAGGGCCTAATAGAACTGCCCCATAGTTGATCTTCAATATAGTGAAAATACTCTACAGATTAACTAACAGTTAATTTTAGGGTAGGGGACTTGTACAAGAGGCCCACTGGTTCCTTTACTGCTTCAGGTTGCATAGCAGAGCTGCTTACTGAATGTGTTTCTCTCACGGTTTAGGTCTAAAAAAATTGAAGCCACAGGTTGCAATGGAGATGCAGCCTTTCTTGCAGTCCGGGTGCAGCAGGTGGTGATTGAGTTCATCTTGAATCATGTGGAGCAAATCTTTAACAACAGTGCACCTGGGTCCCTGGACAACACCGGTAATAACCTCTGCTGGCACCACCTGCCCATTTTCTTTCTTGCCCTAGTTATGGGGCCCAAGAATAGGGTGGGCTTGGTTCTAGCTTTGAGTATTCGCTGTGCTTGTGGCACATGGCTTTGTGTGTCAGTGTCTTTGTCTTTGTTTGCATGTGGCTTTAGTGTGTTTCTAATCTATCCAATGAATATAGCATGATGAACTAGAATAATGTGCTATTAGCCCTGAGTTCTTAGATTCTGAGTTATTATGTACAGGTACTGGCAACATTGCTTTCCTTAAATACTAGATTGTATTTTTATTTTTAGTATGATATTTCAGATGATCCCTATGCCTTCATCTTGAAGTCTTAGTCATCGGGTTTATTGCTCACATGTGTATTCAAAGTGTAGTCTTTGCACAATTTTTTGTTGAGCGCTTATTTGGCTCTGTCTTACACCAAGCACTTTGTTGTCGTTAAGTGCCTTCAAGTCAGTTCCAACTCATAGCTACATTGTATAGGGTTTCTGAGGAGCGGCTGCTTGGTTTGAACTGCTGACCTTGCAATTAGTAGTCAGTGCTTATCGTAGAGCATCAAGCACTAGGGAAACAAAAATGAATCTGTGTTGTGTGCTTATGGACATTTGTATATAGAATGGTTGATATTATTGTAACTGTAGCCATTAGTGGTGAGAGAGGTATTGCTATTTCAAGCTGGATATTGTGGGATGATTTTTTTCAATCCTGTTTCATAAGCAGCTCCTGGTGATGCAGTCGGTAAAGTGCTCATCTGCTAAGAAAAGGTTGGCACTTCAAACCCAGCAGCTGCTCTGAGGAAGAAACATGTGGTAGTCTGTTTCCACAAAGACTACAACCTTGGAAACCCTGTGGGGCAGTTCTGCTCTGCCCTATAGGATCACGCTATGAGTTGGAATCAACTTGATGGCAGTGGGTTTGATTTGGGTTTGGGCTGGCCTTTATAATGACCCAATGACCCCTATGAGTGAATGGGTTTATGCTGCTTTCATGTTTGTTGTTGTTGTTAGGTACCATCGAGTCGGTACCGACCCATAGCGAACTTATGTGCAGCAGAATGAAACACTGCCCGATCCTGGGCCAACCTCACTGCTGTTGCCACACTTGAGTCCATCGATGCTGCCACTTGGACAATCCATTTTGCTGGGGTCTTTCACTTTTTTTCTAACCCTCCACCTTACCAATCATGATATCCTTCTCCAGCGACTGGTCCAAAGTATGAGAGATGAAGTTTGGCCATCTTGGCCTCCAAGGAGCACTCTGGCTGCACTTCTTCCAAAACGGATCTGTTGATTCTTTTGGCAGCCCATGGCACTTTCAGTATTCTCCTCCAACACCACAACTCAAAGGCATCAGTTCTTCTACAGTCTTCCTTATTCCCTGTACAGCTTTCGCATGCATATGAGGTTATTGAAAATACCATGGCTTGGGTCAGGCAATGTATGTGAGCCTAATTGATAAAAATCGGAAATCCAGTTATCAGGAGGCCTGGTACAAATGTCAACATTTGTGTATGACAGTTGTTCCCTAATGTCAGTGTTTATCAAAGTCACCAAATTATTATTATTATTAAGCCTATCTTCATGGAGTCCTGCTGTGGCGCTGGGGGCTAGTGCGTCAGACTGCAAAGTCATTGGAACTACAAGGCCAGTGGTTCAAGCTCACCAGCTGCTCCTTGGAAACCCTATACAGGGTCGCTATGGGTCAGAATCGACTCGATGGCACCTAACAACAAGAATCTACATCTATGATTCAGTAGGTCTCTGGTAGCGTAGTGGTTACGAATCAGGCTGCTAACCTCAAGGTTGGCAGTTCGAAACTACCAGCAGTTCCGTGGGAGAAAGATGAGGCGTTCTGCTCCCATAAAGATTTACAGCCTCGGAAACCCTGTGCAGGATCACTATGAGTTGGAACCGACTCCATGGTATTTAACAACTTATAGTGTGACTGATAATTTACATGCCTAACAAGCTTAACAACAACAACAACAAGCTTCTGGGTGATGCTGATACTGCTGATCTTGGAGAGCCATTGGCATATGAGAACCTTATCTGCAAAATATTTATATGAGCAGACCAAAGCATTCTTTTCCAGCATAGGTAACATTTGGAAACACCAAAGTTAATCATCAGGTTAATCAATAGCAATTAACATTGTATCTCAATTCCCAGTATAACTGTTCCCACTCATATTATCCTCTTTTTTATCTTTATATTAACTCTCCCATTAGGAAAATAAAATTTTTAAATAAATGTAATTTTTAATTGTAAACTATATAAAATCCTTTTTGGGGGTAAGTGGGAAGTGATATGCACCCGTTCATTCATCCTTTTGAGTTAACAGGTAATTTAGTGGGGACGTACGCTCTGCCAGGAATGATTCCAGGCACTCCACAGACATCGTCGCATCACACTGATTTTCACAACAATCGTTACACAGTTGTTATCAGCTTGTTTTAGAGATGAGGGACCTAATAGCCAGGAAAGCTTAGTCATAACCCAAGGTCTTATGCTGGGACTCAATGTTGAGTGCAAATCCTTCCGCCTATGTTTTTTTGGGTTTTTTTTTAATGAACTGCTAGAATGCCTCGGTGAGGGAACAAACACATAAGTAAGTCACTGTGGAGAAAGAGTGCCTTTGCAGGAATGTCTTCTAGACAGCAAATTCTATCTCTGATTGTGAATATTAAGGTTGCTCCTAAATTAACCTGGGAACACCTCTTCTCTTTGTAAGCACTGCCTTAATCATTTTTGCCCTGCATTTTGAGATCCACTTTACTCTGGAACCTTTAACTCTTGATTTCCTCCTATACTTGTGTCTTGGTTATCAAGTTCTACTGTAACAGAAATGCATTGCTTTAACAAACAGAAATTTGTTTTCTGTTCGTTTAGGGGGCTTGAAGTCCAAAGGCAGGGTGCTGGCTGTAGAAGAAGGCTTTCTCTCTGTGTGGGTTCTGGAAAACTTAAAAAACAAAAAGAGTAGAGAGTGTTAGTGTATAGGAGGTACAACAGATGAATTGGAAGTTTAAGGAGGGATGAAAGTTTCCTAGATAAGGTTTAAAATAAGAAAAATCAGTGAAAAGAGAAAATAATATAGTATTCTTTTGAATATGTTTTATAATACACATAATACTAATACAGTAACATAATATATAAGTATAATTATTTGTACATCAATACATAAAATGGGAGTATGCATTAAAAAAATTGTCACTGTATATTTTTGAGACCACTGGGTCAGTGGGCACAAAGAGGAGACAGCAAGCAAAGGAAAAATCCTTGTAGGTCTTGTTAAGAACTGTTTGTTCTCAGTCCCGTGGGAAAGCATTGGATGATTTTAAGTGATGTGATCAGAGCATTTTAGCTGCTGAGGGGCAGAGGAACTGAAAGACAGCAAAGTTGGAAGCAGAAGCCATTTAGGTGCTATGGTGGTGATCCTGGTGGAAAATTATGACAGTCTGTACTAGGATGGTAGTAGTGGAAAGGAGGGGAGTAGCTAGATTCAGGGTAGTTCTTAGAGTCACAGGACTTGCTTATAGTAGGCTTGAGGGAGAAGGGGGTGCATCAAAGAAAGGAAGTAACTACTCCAGGTTTTTGACTTAAGGAACCTGGGTAATCGGTGGTGCCATTTACTGTTTGGGAGGAAACTGGAGGAGGAGCCGGTTTGGAGGGGAGGAGTGCACATAAAGAGCTCTGTTATGAAACGTGAACTCAGGGATGATGAGTAGGCCTCAGAGAAGAGGACGAGCTCTCAATCTCCTGACTACAGCTTATGTTCTTCCCATTGTTCCGATTGTACCCAGAGCAATTTAGTTTTGTCTTCTAGGTAAGCAAATCATTAAATAGCAAAGTTATAAATAATCTGGAATCTAGGAACAAAGGCCTTCAAATAGTTCATGGAAATTCCATTGTCTTTTAGCTCCATTTTTCCACAAATTTTCAAAGCCCCCTTGTATTGAGAATAAATTAAATGCAAATATTTTTAACCTCTTCTGAGCTGCTGGAGAACTTTAGTAAAAAAAGTTTTAGGAACTAATGTAGGTAACAAAATGTCTTTTTACTATAGAGAAACAAGCCTGAGTGGTCTAAGGGAAGAAAGCTGTGCTTATGTAGCTGAATGAGGCTACCTCTGGGGCAGGCCATACAGCCTCATCTGGCCAAAGCACTGGGCAGAATTTTCAACGGTAAAAACTATTACTGTTACTCTGGCTCACAATAAGTTCACATTCAATGTTCATTGTATGAATGAATGAAGGGCCCGTCTATGAAAAGTACAGAAAGTGCAAGTTAATTCCGGAATCCCCTTTTTGCTCCCTTGCTAGTCTAGCAAGAAGAGATGTCGGTTTCCTGTGTAGTCTTAGCCCCAGACCTAACTATACTCACTGTCAAGAGGTCAGGACACACACAGCAACAATAAATGGGAGTCTGACAGGAGCTGGTGGACAGACCTTCTCCAGAACTGAGTTATTCTCTCTCATTTACAGAGAGCCGGCCCATCATGAAAAGCCTGACCTTACCAGCCCTCTCCCTACCCATGAAGTTGGTGAGCTTGGAGGAAGCTCAGGCCCGAAACCTGGCTACCGACCATCCTGCTCGGAAGGAAAGGAGGGAGAACAGCCTGCCTGAGATTGTCCCTCCTACGGGCACCCTCTTCCACACTGCCCTTGAGTTACCAGACAGCAAGTGAGTGACATCCTTTCAAATTCTGGGAGGTGCCTGAGTGAAGGGGAAAAGCAGTCGAGGCTCAGAGCTGTGATGGTGGCCTGGGTTGAGGGATGTGGTCTGAGTTAGGTGTAAGGAAACATGCCAAAGGAAAGGGAGTTGTCTTTACAACTCTTTCATCAGCAGCTGATGTCTTCACTCACTGACCCCAAAGGTATCAAGACCCCCTATCTCCCACCAAATATCCCTAGCACCACTGGGCACAGTGGTCAGGAGTCATGACTAAAATCTATTCCCTCTTAGTTTACACAAAGCAAACTTGAAGTTTCCAAAAGGCAAAAATGTGACCTCCTTACCCGCCCCTCGTCATGCCTTCTACCCTCAGGTGATATTACGAAAGCCAGGAGATGACTCTCTTGACAGAGGACAAGTGGACAAATAGCACCACTCTATGCTGAAAGCTCTGAGCAGGCAGAACTGTGGACAGGCATTCCTGGCCTCCCTTCCTCCTGTCAAACCTGTCAGAGGTCTCCCTCCACTCTAAACACAAAGCAAACATTGTTTTCACTTGTAGGATATTTTCCATTCTCATTTCTCCCTCTTACTTCCTGCATTGCAACTCTGGGCTCCACCCATCCTCCACTTGCAACCCAGTATAGAAAAAGACAACCGTAGAAGTGGGGATCCTAATTTGGCAGTTAGCAACAATAATAGGTGAAGGAACTGAAAGGCAATCTTTTAATTCACAGCAGAATGTCATCTCTGCTGTTTAGTCCATGAAAAAAGGTACAGCCCCCTCCAAGACTGACACTCAAAGGGACAGCATGTAGGCTTGCTGGTGACCATGTTGGCCTACTGGTGAGTGGAAAAGGGGGAAAGGCAGCAATAAAGAAGTGGGCTGAGTTCAACTACATTCCATAGACTCTTGTTGACTTGGAGATGAGAAAGAGAAGAGGAAGGGCTGGTTAGTCCGAAGTATGGTGAGACCTGGGGACACCTAAGCCATGAACAAGGACATGGTCACAGAGGGCTAGAGCTGAGAGTGAAGCATCCAACTGATACAAAGTGAGGGGAGAGACACAAGAACACCCAAACTTGTAGATAGTACCAATTTGACCTAGCCTCGATGGCTTGATAATCAGAACTCGACTAGAGGAAGATAAAAAAAAATTTCGAGGGTAAACTGCTACAATTTGATGAACTTGACCTATACTTATGGATGTAGTAGCTCAAAATACTAACTGAGAGGGAAGGAGTTTTCAAAGCAAGGATCAATGCTATCCCTTCTGTATACTGGGTAGCTAGGGATGGGCAACTTAGACATTGGCTACCTAAAGTGAGGGGGGCAATAAAGGGATAAAGTGACTGGCTTATAAGGTTTCAAGAGTGAGTTTAGTTTAAGAGTGTACAGGTGAAGGTAGAGTCCCCACTGAATAGTTTCATCTTATCTAGATGGATCTGGTGAAAAGAGAAGGGGATAAGATTCTTATAATTCAATAGTGAATAATTATTATCATGACTAATTGTGACTGTCACAACTGTAAAATGTACAAATTTTATAACAAAAATAAGGGAGTAGTTAATCTTACAGTCCAGAAACAGAGGGCCCGAGGACTGTCAAGGGAGAAGAGCACATGCAGAGTGTGGGACCTATCCAGAGAAGCAGTGACACCAGAGATGGAGGCAGAGATGAGGACATGGAGAGAGGGAGCAGCTGAGGACTCTGGACTCATGGAAAGAGAAGGACTGGGTGCTGGTGGTTAGGAGGCAGGCTTGCAGAATGTGCCCTTTGGTTGTTTAAATTATTATATATTCCTGAGTGTTTCTGTGTACATCCTTCCTCCCTCCCTCCCCCCCCCCCAAAAAATAGAGAATGGAAGCAAATACTGTTAAATGATGATGCACAGAGGAGATTGTAATCATTGCAATGAAATGATGGTGTAAAGCCGATGTTCTCCCATGTAAACTATCAGTTCACAATAAAAACTTAAAAAAAAAAACCCAAAAACAAAGGTACAAAAAATGGGCACCTCTGACTTCTTGTTGAGGACTGCCACACTGAACAATTGCAGGAGGCACAAGTCACTGTGTATGCTACAGTGATGGCACACCTGAAACATGCTTGGTGAGGAATCCTTCCATATCCTGGATGCATGTATCTCCCCTCTCATGACTGAGTCCCACTGCTCCTCCTCATACATACTTGAAAATAAAACGTCTACCTGAGTATCAGGGACAAGAGTGTCTCAGAAGGACCATCAAGTACATTATTTCTGTGTCTTCAACCACACCAATGTGTACCACACCCAAAGATATGCCACCTGGTAAAATACACTTGAAGGCTTGTGTATCAACCATACCAGGCCCACAGGTAACCATCAAGCACTGCAGATCTTCCTCTGACTGATCGTAAAAGCCTGCTTTCTTTGAGAGCTCTTTGAGTCTTGCAGACAAGCGGTCCTCTGAGGAATCCACTGGTTGCAGTATTTCATCCTGGAACATCATGAAATCCCAAGACTGGGCCAAGCCAGAGCAAGGCAATGCCTCTGAAGTGACCCCTGGTGGCACCAGGCTCTCCTGCACTCTCCCAACTGTGCCCCACCTCCTACTGAAGCAGCATGCCTGTGATGATTGGGTTAATGAAGGCAAAACCAAACACACTACCTTCTGCTTGTCCCCACAGGGGATATTGACCATAGTCAACAGACCACAACTTGCCCTATTCCCACCTGTCTCTCCTCACTTCTCATGGAGCCCATCAAATGTAGAAAAAGGTCAAACTTCTTTTCCAGGTCTGCTTTCTCAAACAACACTTCTTCCATTGAAGAAAGCCTCCACCAGCCCTCTCCTCACCTATGGCTGTCCCAGCAGTGTGGCCACTGTTCAGGGAGCATGATCACTCCCGTAAAGTTAATTAATCATAATAATCAGTATCCTTGAAAATCTAGGACAAAAGTTCTTATTCAAATTCCCTCCAAGGAAATTATGACTTCTGAATCTCCCACCAATCCTGCACCCCACACACAAACTGCCCAGCTAACACCACCATCTTTAATAGTGCACCTCTGCCCCTTTACCTTAGAGAATATCACCCTCGCTCTGATGTATGAAAGCCTAGCTTGGTCATTTAGGGCATTCCCAGATACGTGAAAGTCAGGTTCAATTTGGATTTTAGAGAGAAATTTCCTGGAATGTCAGGACCATTCATAGCTAAGAATATGACTAGAATATTCTTTCTCAATTTAAAACTCCCATTGGAATGTTGGTTACCACACTAATCCGTAATGGCTTGGCTCCTTTAGAAGAAAGCTCTCCAGTAAACCAAAGAAGTGGAAGTCAATATTTAACCCAGGACGTTCTGGATCAGACTCCAAATCAAAGCTGAGTAGAAATGGGAGTGTCTTTGTGAGAGGGCAGAGACTTGCAGGTAAGAGTCAATAGCAAGTGTGTTTTATAATTTAAAAAAAAAAATGTTTGGTTTTTGGTTTTGTTTTTTTGCTAGGTCTCTTTGCTTTTATCAAGTCAAACTCATCCCTTAAAGGCAAACTTACAAATTAATTCAAGGGTTTTTTCTTTAAGTAATTTTAGACTTACAAAAAAGCAAAACTAGTACACAAAAAGATCCATATACTCCTCACACAGCTTCTCCTAATGTTAACATCTTACATAACTATAGTACAATGATTAAAGCTGGAAAATTAATATTGAAAATTAAAATTATGTACTGCTATTGAGTCTGTTTTGTCTCTTAACATCCCTATACTACTAACTAGTTTATATATCTTACTCAAATTTCAACAATTGTTCCTTAGTGTCCTTTTTCAGGTCCAGGATCCAATCCAGAAACCCACATGACTTTTAGTCATCATGTCTCCTTGTTGTTTTTGTTGTTGTTGTTGTTGTCGGTATAGACTCATAATGCTCCTTTGCACAACAGAACTAAACACTGCCTGTTCCTGCGCCAACCTCACTATCATTGCTATGTTTGAACCCATTGTTCCTGTTGCTGTACCAATCCATCTAGTTGGGCGCCTTCCTCTTTTTCTCTGACCCTCCACTTTATCAAACATAATATCCTTCCCCAGGGACTGGTCCCTCCTGACAATGTGTCCAAAGTATGAGAGATGAAGTCTGGCCATCCTGGCTTCCAAGGAGCATTCTGGCTGTGCTTCTTCCAACACAGAATGGTTTGTTCTCCTTAATCTCCTCCAATCTAGGACAGCTCCTCAGTCTTTCTTTGCCTTTAAGACCTTGACACATTTGAAGAATTCTGACCAGTTATTTTGTTGAATGTCCTCAGTTTGGGTTTGGCTGATATTTTTTCATGATTAGATTGAGGACATGAATTTTTTAAGCCATCCCTCAGAAGCGATGTACTCTGTTCAGTGCATCATATCTGGAGGTGCATGATGTCAGTATCTTATTGCTGGTGATGCTAACTTTGATCATTTGGTTAAAGTGGTATCTATAGGTTTCACCACCATAATTTTTTGGTTTTGTTTTTTCCTTTCCAGTTAATAAATATCTCATGGGAAATATTTTGAAGCCATGCAAATATCTCGTTTATCATCAATATTTTTATCCATATATTTTAGCATCCATTGATGGCTCTTGCCTGAAACAGTTGTTACTGTGATATTGGTCAAATAGTGATTTTCTATTATCATCATTCATTCTCCATTTATTAATTGGAATTCTCCTGTAAAAAAGAAGTTACCCTTTCTCCCTTAGGGTCATAATCTAGGGACACTGTATTGTGGGACTTACTTTTAATTAATGAATAGGAATTGCTCAGGAAGGAATTGAGGGAACAACTATGTAATGGGAAATATAACCAATAACACTAGGTCAGGAAAAGGAAAAGCAACAAAATCTGTATCAGCGTTCTTTAGTGTAGAATGAAAGTATAATAAAATGGAGATAGTAGTTGTAAAAAAAAAAAAAAACCAAAAAACTAATTGTAAAAGGTTAATGGCAAAATTGATAAGCTTTGATTGAATCTTGATTTGAGAAGGAGAAAAAAAAGCACTTCAAAAGACGATTTTGGGGACCAATGGAGAAATTCTGGATATAGATTGGATATTAGACAGTATTAAGAAATTGTAAATTTATTTAGTGTGCTAGTGGTTCATAGAAAAACACATGCTAAAAGTTCAAATATTTAAGGGTGATGTGTTAAATTATTGAACCTCACTTTTAAATGGTACAGTGAACTATAGGTAGGTAGGTAGATATTGCCTGAAAATGACACCAACCATTCATCTCACAGTCCTCTCTCTACTCAGCAAGGTTTGAGAATCCATTGCAGTGGCCACATAGAACTCAGAGGTATGGGGCTGATATGTTGTTGTCAGGTGCCATCAAGTCCACCTGGCTGATCCATGTTGTTGGGGGTCTTCCTCTTTTTCTCTGATCCTCCATCTTACCCAGCATGACATCCTTCTCCAGCGACTGTTCCCTTCTGACAATATGTCCAAAGTATGAGAGACGAAGCTTAGCCATCCTGGCCTTCAAGGAGCACTCTGGCTGCACTTCTTCCAAAACAGATCTATTGGTTCTTTTGGCAGTCCATGGCACTTTTAGTTTTCTCCTCCAACACCACAACTCAAAGGCATCAATTATTCTACGATCTTCCTTATTTCACTGTCCAGCTTTCGTATCCATATGAGGTTATTGAAAATACCATGGCTTGGGTCAGGCGCACCTTAGTCCTCAAGCTGACATCTCTGCTCCTCAACACTTTAAAAAGTTCCTGTGCAGCAGATTTGCCCAATGCAATATGTTGTCTGATTTCTTGACTGCTGCTTCCACGAGTGTTGACAGTTAATCCAAGAAGAATGAAGTCCTTGACAACTTCCATCTTTTCTCTGTTGATAAGAATGTTGTTTATTGGTCCAGTAGTGAGGATTTTTGTTTTCCTTAGCAGGTCACAAATCAGGGTCAGAAAATGCTCAGACACAGTTCTTCCAGGCAGGATGGCCTCTCCTCAGTCATGCCCACAGCTAGGTCTCTCTTTGTGTAGGTAATGTTACAAAGCTCTTTTAGGGCTTCTGATAAATGTTCACAGTGCACACAACTCAGTCTGAAGGCACTCAGCTCTTGCTCCTTGGCTCAGCAAACCTAGCTCTCCCAATTAAGTGCAAGCCTTCTCCCCAAAGTCACTGCACTTTACTTGCTCCATTTCATCTTCTGGCTCTTGGTTGGCCTATTGCTACTCCTCCTCTGCCACTCCTCAGCTGTCACAGCTTTCTGTCCCTTGAATGAGGAGGTTCAATGCACAGGGCTCTCTGGGTCAAAAAGATATGCTTTCCTTCTTTGGTGATAGTGAGATCATCCCATTCCTGCTTGTGAGAAGGCTCATTTTATACACATTAAAGTTCCAAGATTTTACCATCACAGTGAACTCTGCTAAATACCCATAACTGAATCATATAATCCTATCAGCATCTTCTCCCACCTTCTCTTAACCATATCCATCAGGGGGGAAAAAAACACAAAAATGTTATTTGGTGGGAGTTACAAAGACTATGGGTAGAAGAATCATATGAAATAATTTCCTGCATTGCAGATATAGATATAGAAACAGATAAACAAATACAGAGCAAGCCGTTGCCATTGACAATTGTTCATATTTGATGGTAGGTTTAGAGGTCTTCTTTTTTTTTTTTTTTTTAATGTTTGAGAATTTTAATAATAAGGACTTTGGAGGAGAAAAAGTTAATGCCTATAGGAAAATTAAGAAATAATAATATTTATAAATATTTTCCTTGACCCCAGTGAAAACTGCATGCCAGCCTTCAGAAAGCACATAAATATATTCTCATTTACTCATAGAAGTAATGAGAAATGCTGCAGGGTATTGTAGTTATAATGACTTAGGCTGTAAATGGAAAATCCAAGTGAACATACTTACAACAGGAGGGCATTTATGGGCTTCTGTAATTGGACATCCAGATGTAGCCCAGGCTTCAGGAATGAGTTAGTACAGTACTTCTGTCTCCATTTTCATTTCCCTCCACTATGCCCTCCTTTATGGGTCACCATCACTAGGAGGACTGCCCTTGCTATGGTAAAATGACTATGGTATTAGCTCTAGGTTTTACCTTTGAATATCACCTGGTACACAGGGAACATCACTTCTGGTGGCTTGCTCCTAAAAGCAGAAGCCTTTCCATCTCAAAAGCCCCTATCAAACTCTCCTCACATCTTAATAACCTTCACTGAGTGGCATGGATCAATCTCTATGACTAAAGGAATGCCTTGTGGTGACTGATGTAGACCTGGGTTCTGAATCAATCACTGTGGCATGAGGAATGGGTTCACCAGTCAGATGCACCCAAGAAGAACCAGGCTCTATGAGAAAGGAGACAAGAGAAATGAATTCTGGGTGAGCATCTACCAAGTTTGGGAAGTACATCTTTCACGGGATGTAAAGATGGTCCAAGTGAAGAGGATAGGTTTCCGCAGGTTTGGAAGATAAGATACAAATCCGATATTAGGGGAATTTGAAGGGAGGAGTACCTGACAAGATATTCCTGATCTAGTAATAAATGATTTATTTAAAGTATAGCAAAGAGAATTCCAGTTACAGAATCAGTGATATGATAATGAAACAGGTCCACCAAGTGATGAAAATCAACAACAGAAAAGTAAAAGAAAAAAGAAAACTATTTGCTTTGATCATGATTTAGAAAGATTGCCACCCCTATCTATGGTTTTCAAAAGGAGCCAAGTCCATGGTGCTGATCCAATGGTGGCGAACTCATAGGGTGCACTGGATGTTCTGGGTCAGAGTTTCTCTGCAGGCTGTACCTCAGAATCACCCACGTAGTGGCTCTTGTCCACACTGTTTTGCCTCAGGAGGTCTGTGGTGAAAGCTCCCTTAGGTGATTCTGATATGCAGCCAGGTTCTAAGATCTTATGAACAAACTTAACAGAGATAGATCTCCAAACCAGCTGAAATTGGATGGAATGCACAGTTGAAAACACCAAGCCATCAGTGTCAGTACAAGTGGCTTTCTGTAGCCATCTTTTGGACTATTTTCCAAGTGGCCTTTGCCAGAAGAGTGTTGATGGAACTCTCGGAACTAAAGAATTCAAGGCCAGTGGGCTTCGTGATCCAAACTCTAGTGGAGTCCGTAATAAATGGCAGACCTAGAACCCTTAACACAATCCACCAAAGGCAAGGCAGAGTGATCCATGTTCACTATTTATCATGGCATACATATGAAAAGTGGGTTAAATAATTTTTAAACATTGATAGCGTAGTGGTTACTAATCGGGCTGCTCCTCTCACAGTCAGCAGTTCGGAACTACCAGCCGTTTTGTGGGAGAAAGATGAGGCTTTCTGCTCCCATAAAGATTTACACCCTCGGAAATTCTTTGCAGGGTCACTATGATTCAGAACCGACTCCACAGCACATAACAACAACAACAACTCCATAAGTGAGGGCTTTTTAAAGATTGGTTCACCATGAACAGTATTGGGTTTTTTTGTTGGGGAAAGAAAACAAAGGGGTATTTAGTCCTATATAGAAAATTGAATGTTGTTTTTTGTTGCTAAGTGCCATCAAGTCAGTTCCAACTCATAGCAACCCTCTATCAGGTTTCCAAGAAGCAGCTAGTGAGTTTGAACCGTCGACCTTGTAGTTCAAACTGACCTTGCCGTCTGGTGCTTATCCTATGGTGCCACATGGGCACTTAATCAACTGTATAAACTTTAGAATTTCCCAGGGACTGGTATTTGAATTGAATTTATTTTAAGTTTTTTTTTTAATATTATCAATCAGTAAGAGTTCTGAAAACTCTACAAAATTAATTCTTCTGAGCAGAGAAATCCCAAAATTATAGGAATAAGTTAAGAGAGGGGCCTCAAGAATCCAGAGACTTTCAAAAATCTGGCGAATGTGGATCTTTGAGGCCAGGCCAAGGACCTAGACAGACAAGTACAATCTAAACATTGTCATGAGTCAAGAGACCTTGAGCTTTTAGCTACTGTCCAGGAAAGAGGCCAGAGAACCCTTGAGGGACAGTCCCCGAAAGCCATAGCAAACCCACAAAGCACTGCATCATCAGAACGGGGGTCTGACACTAAAAGTGAACACAGATGTTCCCAAAGAACATCAAAGAACACTGTGACCCACCTTCCATGATGCTCAGGGCCACCGGTCCCTGCCCCTCAAGACACATGAAAACTTGGGGAAAAGTTTCGTAATGTCGCTGCCAGAAAAACAAAGGCCAAAAGCTTGTCTCAGAATACATGAATGAAGAAAGAGATGCTGGCCAAATTGTTCTAGGATAATAAATCATGAACTTGTAAAAAGAGCAGAACTTCAAAGGATAAAAATGCTGACTAGATGGAAGTAAGGAGGTTTGGAGACAATCTTCTGCCAACTCTGCAAGTTTCAGTGAAAAGGCCGTATCCTCCCACAGCTTCTCCCGTCAGACATAAGAGTCTTCCAGAAGGAGTGGGACTTGGTGCAAGGAGGAAAAAAGGGGGCTCAGCTACTCACTGTAAAGTTGGCGATTCAAATTCATCTAAGGGAGCCTCAAAAGAAAGCCCTGGCAACCTGCCGTTGAAAAGCCTCTGGAGCCCAGTTCTACTCTAATACACATAGAGTCGCCAGGAGTTGGAATTTACCTGATGGCAACTGATCTGTTTTTTAAAAAGAGGGACAAAGTAGCTGTGTGTTACTTCCCAATTTGGGTTAAGGCCAACTCTGCCTGTCTCCTCTACTTTCCTTTGTTGTTGCGCCCTGGTGGAATCTGAATAGTAACAACAATACATTGTTACTTTTTATTGAGCATTGACTCTATCCCAGGCTGGTCCATCCTAATCACTTTTTAGACATTGCTCACTGTAGCCTCACAACATCCCTGTTTTTTCCTCTCTTGCACCTGAGAAACCGGAAGTTTATTCAAGTCTAGCTGCCTGTCTGAGATCACACAGCCCAAATTGGCTGAGTTGGGACTCAAACCCAAATCTGTCTGGATCCAAAGTTGCCTTAAAGGCTACTACTACTAGTCCTGGGGCTTCCCCGTCAACTTCCAAACTGCCCTTGTCCCCTTCTAGCAGGCTTATCCCAGAAGGAACCAACTTCCAGCCACGTCAACCCGCTCACAAGAGATGGTGTTTGTGAAAGTTACTAATACTATACTAGGGATAATACTTTTTTACTTATTCAAATCTCACATCCTTCCAAATACCTGCTAAGGCAACTCACAAATATGAGGGGGATTCAAAAAGTTCATAGACAAGTGGAATGAAAAGATAATGAAATTGGGGAAGAGAGGAGCTTTTGAAGTCTGCTTATATGCATAGAGTACAGCATGCACTTGGTAGGTTTGGTTGGGATCTGCTCCAGGCTGAGATTGGTGGGTGAGATCATTGGGGGAGCAATACATCTGCAGGCCTTAAGAAGCAGAGCTGTACTTGCAGAGAAAGGGAGCCTCAGTGCCCCTGGGCCTCTCATTTGCTGTACTAAATTCCTGGGTGCTGAGAGATGTGGCCAACAGCCAAGACTCTTTGCCCAGGACAAACAGGAGGGTAAGTCTGGACTCCTCCCATAGAGTCATTGTTGGATACTTTCTGAACAATAAAACTAGGCTCAGGACTCACTTGACAAACTCACTATTTATCTTCGTCTATGAAGCATTAAAACTCTGATCTACAAATGTTCTGTTGTTTTGTTTTGTTTCATTTTTAATGAATAGTCCCATTAAGAGTATAGGAACATCTAGGATGGAGTGGGGAAATGTTTCCAAGGAAGCAAATTAAAATATTTGAAAAACTTTCCTAAAACATTTTTCATGTGTACTAACAGAATGACCTAGTATTCTGGATACTTCCTCTTAGTTTGCATTCATCAGTGATATTTTCTCTTTTGCCTTTAGTGGAGAAGGCTACTATCCAACCAGCGAAAAGCATGGATTCACTGTGCTCAGTGCCCGTGGAAGGTGAGATTTTACGATTAGTTTCTGAGTGGCTGGGGGACTGAGAGCTCATACACAGACATACCTGATAGTAGCAGCTGCTATCCCTGCTTGTCTGTCCCCAGTCCCAATAACATACAATAACTTGACCCTTCCTACACTCAAGGGTTTCACATAGCCCCAGCATAGCCCACCCCCTTGCTCTATCTCAGTTCTGGCCCTAAAAGAGGGTTCCTTTCAGCTGGCCACAACTGGAGAACAGAGGTACTTTGCATTCAAACCTGGACCAGTTAAAGGACCAACACTTAAAATCTAAGACAGAAGAGCCCTTTGGGCATAAAAGATGAGCTAAGCATTGGTTTATATCTCACAATTTTATGTCCATGCCTAGATGCTGCCTGCTGTTGTTGCTATTAAGTGCCATTAAGTCAGTTCCAACTCATAGCAACCTTATGTAGAACAGAATGAAACACTGCTGGTCCTGTGCCATCTGTAGTTACATCTGAGCCCATTACTGTTACTGTATTAGATCCCATTGATGAAGCCACTGTGACAATCCATCTCATTGAAAAGCTTCCTCTTTTTTGATGATCCTCTATTTTATCAAGCATGACTAGTCCCTCCCGATGACATGTCCAAAGTATATGAGACAAAGTGTTGCCAACCTCACTTCTAAGGAGCATACTAGCTGCACTTCCTCCAAGACAGACTTGTTTATGTGTCTAGAATTTGGGTATTTCCATAAGCAATGGCTTCATGATACTTGTGAAGTCCTGGTTTGGGGCTGGTAGATTCATTCGCTCATCAGTAAACATTGTATGTAACAGCTATGTGCCAGGCATTGCAAACTCTGGCATTCTTTGTTGGAGTAAGATGTATGTCCAGTTGCATGTGAGCTGACAACAATCACCAAATTGGCATGCCACCATGTTGTGTTCTCACAGGTGGAACCTTAAGGGCTGACTTGCCTGTACCTCTCTCCTCTATTTTTGTTAAGAAAACCAACAAATAGCATTTATAAGTTAACTAGTTGAAACTCACCCATAGTTTATTTCATGATTTTCTAACCCCTTTAATATAAGATGTTTCTCTTTTTAATAAATGAAGCCACTTGAAATAATAAAGAAAAGTTTTACAGCAACTTAAAAAACTTGTAAGTTCATCAGTGAGGTCTTTTGAAGCTGACTCAATACTTTAAGCATTTTCTCTTATCTTTATAGTCATACTTTTAAATTTTTTTTTTTTTTTTGGCTTTCGCTTCAAAACCCCTTGCCCAGATTTTTAATGTTTGATAGTTCAAAATCTAGCTTACCCTATGGGTGTTGAGTAGATCACTAATGTCCCTGAGCCTCAGTTTTTTCATGCATCAAAGGAGATCACTACACTTTTGTTGTTTGTTGTTAAGTGCTGTTAAGTAGGTTCCGACTCATGGCAACTCTATAGAAGGTTTCCGAGGAGCGGCTGGTGGGTTTGAACCACCAAGCTTGCAGATAGCAATCCAGTGCTTATCATACATTGCCACACCAAGACTCCACACTTACTTATATGGTAGGTATGTGATGCTATGTAAAATAACCAGCACATACTTGTTATGTAAGGAGCTCTGGTAGCGTAGTGGTTACGAATCGGGCTATGAACCACAAGGTCAGCAGTTCGAAACTACCAGATGTTCCGTGGGAGAAAGATGAGGCTTTCTGCTCCTGTAAAGATTTATAGCCTCAGAAACCCTGTACAGGTTCGCTATGAGTCGGAACCGACTCCACGGCACATAACAACAACAACAACTTGTTATGTAGTAGAAATTTTCTTTCCAGCTCCCTGGTCACTCACTTGCCTGCCCCCAACTTCTTTATTACCCATGAAACTTTTTCTCTTCTTTGCATTCATTTCTAAACACACGCATCACAACAATGCTTTCTAACGTTTAGTTCATTCACACTTCTAGTTTCTCATCCTCTAATTCAGCAGGAGGAAGCCTGGGAGAGGAGGAAAAAGGTACAGTTGAGAAATCAAATCCCTGACTGGGTCCCTCTGCCAGAAAAGACTTAAAACAAGGTTCTGATGTTGTGTCTTTTCCCCCCAACTCCATCGTTGTGAATCCTTTGTGGTGCTGTAGCTGGATTGCTAACCACAAGGCTGGTGGTTCAAACCCACCAGCTGCTCCTCGGGAACCCTATACAGGGTTGCTGTGAGTCGAAGCTGATTTGACGGCACCTAACAACATCATTGTGAGAGGAGTCCTGGAATGGTGCTGTAGGATATGCTAACTGCAAGGTTGATAGTTCAAACCCATCAGCCACTCCTCAGAAACCCTATTTCAAGGTTGCTATGAGATGGAACCGACTTGACTGGACTTAATCAATCAATCAGTCGCTCATTCTGAGCAAACATCAAAATCTGCCTTTTTATCATGTTATGACTTACATTTAATGCTTGGCAATTGATGGCTCTGTTTAGCAATCTTAGCGGATTTCTTTTTGGAAGCTGCTCTGCCTGTGAAGTTTAATACTGATTCCATCTGGTGCAGTGGCAAACAGTCCTATCACAGTATTATGCCCATGCAAAAATACTTTCTCTTTTATCAACCGAATGTTACATATTGGCCTTTACTAGAATGATTATACCCTCGTTAACAGAGCCTTTGAGTGGTGCACATGGTTAAACTCTCAACTTCCAGCTGAGGGTGACTATTCAAACCCCCTCCGAGGCTCTTCAGAAGACAGTCCAGGCAATCTGCTTCCAGAAGCTCATGGTCTGAACACCCTGTGGAGCCGTTTTACTCCACAGCCCTTGGGATCACCACAAGTGGGAATGGATAGCAACTGACAACGACGGCAATACCCTTGTGAGATCCCTATGCTTTCTGAGTATCCAAATGCTGTGTGCCTGCCTTTATTACAAAACTGTGTGGCTGTATGTAGACCCAGGCTGCTAACCATATACTTGTTCTTCTTCACCAGGGAAAGAAAGCAAAGGGAATTTCATTCGAACAGTTACCGCTGGCGGATTTTTCATTCCAGCAAGGAAAATGCACTCAACAGGAACCGGCAGCTCATGTGACCTCAGCAAGCAGGAGGGTGAATGGGGCCAGAAGGAGATGCCGGCTGGAGCAGAGGGGGGCTTTGATGTGAGCAGTGACCGAAGTCAGCTCCAGGGTGCTCAGGCCCGGGCCCCACCAGAGCAGCTGAAAGTGTTCCGGCCTATCGAGGATCCCGAGAGTGAGCAAACAGCCCCGAAGATGCTGGGGATGTTCTACACCTCCAACGACAGCTCCAGCAAATCTGTCTTCACCAGCAGCCTCTTTCAGATGGAGCCCTCACCCCGCCACCAGCGCAAAGCCCTGAACATCTCCGAGCCCTTTGCTGTGTCGGTGCCGCTCCGTGTGTCTGCTGTCATCAGCACCAACAGCACTCCGTGCAGAACACCCCCCAAGGAGCTGCAGTCCCTCTCTAGCCTGGAAGAGTTTTCTTTCCAGGGGTCAGAGAGTGGAGGTTGGTCTGAAGAGGAGAAGCTACTGGGAGCTGAGGCTTCTCCAGGTAAAAGTGAGGGAAGAGGGTCACTTTTCATTGCAAGGGAGAAACACCAGATTGTAATATGCTTAACAGAGACACCAAGTCATGCATTGTTTGCAAAGTGGCCCATATGCTGATGTGAGTATAGCTGGATGAAGGTTAGGGGATGACGTGGAGGGAGACAACGTTCAGAGTCTTTTGTGAGATTGATGACCCTCTCCAAAAGAGAGAGTTCTTGGACCCAAAGGGCCTTTGGAGAGAGTCTGTTATCTGTTTTTCTCTCTCTTTGTAATTAGGAATGTTGTTGTGTGTCATCTAGTTGATTGTGATAGAACAGAGTAGAACTGTGCCACAGGGTTTCCAAGGCTGTAATCTTTATGGAAGTAAACTGCCACATCTTTCTTTCATGGAGTGGCTGGAAGGTTTGAACGGTCAACTTCTCCATTAGCAGCCGAGCACTTAACCATGGTACCACTCAGTCTGTATTAAGCTGGCCTGGGAAAGACACTAATGGAGACGGAAACTCCAGCCTACCGCTCTAGCTGTGAGTGGTGAGGCTCTCAGGACAGTTTAGGATCCAAGATCTAGGACCAAGGGTCAGAGGGAGATGCTAACAGGCTCAAGAACAACAGGTATCCTCACCCTTCTCTCTGATGGAGTTAAATTAAGCTTTCTTCTTCTTTTTTTTTAATGCTTTGTGAATTATGTGATCGTTTACATGGGAGGATAACAGCTTCACATTGATCCCGTCGTATATCATTTCCTTGCCATGGTTACAATCCCTAAATTAAGGTTTCTTATCTCCTTCCATAACTATTCATAAGATAACTTGACCTTCCTTAATAAAATATTTAAGTTTCTTTCTTTTGTACAGTTGTTGTTGTTAAGTGCCGTTGAGTCAGTTCTAATTCATAGCAACTTTGTACAGGGTTTCCAAGGAGTGGCTAGTAGGTTTGAATCACCAACCTTGTGGTTAGAGCAGTCCAGTACTGAGCCTACAGTACCACACTAGGATTCCACTATCAGTGAGTAAAAGAAAAAGAATTAAAGGAAAATTTCCAAGTTACTTAACTAGCATTTTATTCAGTCTGATCAAACCAATTCTACTTTGGATCAAGCTAGATGAAATTCCATTGTGACCCAAAGGGTAAAAGATATCAAGTAAGTATTGATTGCACTTTAACTAAAATGCTGATCAATATCTGTTCCAAGTGAAAAGAAAGAAAGAGAGGATCAATCAATGTGATTAAAATCATTGGTTACTTGATTTTCACTGAGGTCCTACTAACCTCAGTCCTTAGAGGTCACAAAAGATCCACAAACTTGGTCCTTTTGAAAGTGAAGGAAGAGTTTACATGCTGATTCAAAGCCTGCAACTATTCTGTGTCCTTGTTTAGAAATCCGTCTTAGTAGAGGAGGGTCAGAGTTAATCATATAGCTTTAAGGAAACCTGATAAACGAAAATCCAGAGTGGCCTTAAAGAAATATTAACAGTTACCTCACTCTGTTACTAAATAATTTGCCATAGAATTCTAAGTAGTTTATTTTGTCCATATGAAAATGGTACTACCTACGGAACATGGTTCTGCCCAATTATATTTTATCTCATTTTATCAGGAGCAAGCCTATTCCAAACACCCATGATTCCATGAGTTAAAATATAGGCTAAGTTACTTTAACAAAGAGAACCAAAAACCCGGTAACTCAAATAAGATAAAATTTTATTTGTGCCTTCTGGTATAATGCCAGAATGCAGGTTATGCACTCAGAGCAGGATAAGCACTGGACTGCTAATTGCAAGGTCAGCAATTCAAGCCCACCAGCTTCTCCTAGGAAACCCTGTGTAGGGTCACTATGAGTCGAAACCAACTCAACAGCACTCTACAACGTAACAATTCAGAGGTAGGTGGTTCTGCTCCAGGGGATCATTTAGGGTTTCACATTCCTTCAGCCATCCAAGGGTGGTGTTCTTGTCTACATGGTCTAAGTTGTCTCAACACCACCACTGTGGATTCCTGCCTGTTGAAAGAGGTGAGAAGGAGAAACCAAGCAGCTTCTACTTAGGATGGAGCCTAGAAGTTGCACACATCACTATCACTGCCATCCCATCTGCCACATGTACCTTCAAGGGGAGCTGAGAAATGTTGTTGTTAGCTGGACATTCATGTGCCCAGCTAAAATTTAGGGGGTGGGAGTGGGGTAGATTCTATTTTTAACTGAAGAAGAGAATGGATATTGGGGGACAATTGGCAGTCTCTGTCTCCATGTTCACCCACTTGGTGCATATTGTGTCCTGTGCTGGGGAACTTGACTATGCACTTCCCTTTTGTATAATGTTGTTATTGTTGTTGTTAAGTGCCATCGAGTCAATTCCGACTCATAATGACCCTGTATAAGGTTTCCAAATTGCTGCTGATGAGTTTGAACTGCCAACCTTGTGATTTGCAGTCTAGTGCTGATCCTACAACACCACACCAGTAGCTTAGAATTAGCCAGTAAATCTGACAATCCACAAAAATGTATTGAACTGATAGGCCCTTAGCTAATTTCTAGGAATGGATACTGCTTTTGCCCTGAAGAACTTACCTGGAGATGAAAGCCTTGTCCACATCATTATCATTAGACACCACATAAGTAATGTTGTAGGAGATTGGAGAAAGGAGAGTTGGTCTAGGAAGGTGCCAAAGAGGAGGTGTTAATAGCTTTTGATCTTAAAGTGTGGATTCGATTTGAATCTCAGGAGCACCAGAGTGATGGACTCAAAGTCAGAAGGTATAAGACCAGAGGGCAGCTTATCCACTCAGTGTTATGCAGAGGGGTGAAGAGTACAGGAAAGACGGATGAGGATGGCTGGGCTAGAGTAATGGGGGCGCTAAGTGTCATTAGGAAGTGCTGGTAGGATGCCGGACTACAAGGTCATTTAAATCCCAAGGTCAGCAGTTCAAACTCACCAGCTGCTCCTCAGAAACCCTAAACAGAGTCGCTATCAGTTGGAACAGACTCCATGGCACTTAACAGCAACAACAGGAAGGCAATGAGAGTTTTCAGCAGGGGAGTGAGTGATGTGAAAAGGTTATCCTTTTATTGATAAGTGCAGTAGAGTTAATTCTGACTCAGCCACCTTATGTATAGTTTCCGAGGAGCTGGTAGATTTGAACTTTCGACCTTGCAGTTCTCAGTCAGTGCTGATCTTCCAGCACCACACCAGGAGTCCTTAGTACAGGCTCTTCCTTACTCCTCACTTTAAGAGTCTGTCTTAGTTTGCTAGTGCTGCTTTAACAGAAATATCACATGTAGTTAGATTTTACAAACAGAAATTTATTAGCCACAGTTAGGAGGCTGGAAGCCCGAATTCAGAGCACTGGCTGTAGGAGACTCTTTCTCTGTGCTCTACAGGAAGGTCCTTGGCAACCAGGTGGATATGTCTTTCCCTCAGTTTGTGCTTACTTGCTTGTTTAATCTTTTGGGGTTTTTTATATTTCAAAGGTGACTGACTTAAGGCATACCCTACACTAATCCTTTCTCACTAACAAACAAAACCCATTCCCAAATGGGATTATAACCGCAGGTACAAGGGGGATTCGAAAAGTTCTTGGAATGATTCCTTTATCTTTCATTTTCGTTTTCCCACAAACTTTTTTTTTAGCCCCCTTTTGCTATATAGTAGTTAGAATTTTACAATGCATATTTAGTGGAGGGAGGGCAGGGGAGGAGGAAACAATTCAATCCATAAAATAGCCCATATTAAATCAATGGCCAAGGTCAGTGGACAGCAGACCCTGAGATTTACAAAGAGAGACAATGGCACATTCTCCCAATCAAGAAATCTTAATGTTCTGATTGAGCATCACTGGACTAGATGATGGTCAAGATCCCTCCCAGCTTTGACAGTCTGTGACTCTGCGATCAGCTCCCTTGATCCTTGCCAAGCAGGTCTGGTCCATGACAGTAATAGTGCTGGCAATGATATCTCTTGAAATGATGTCTCCTTCAACTGATAACTCATCTCCTCATTGCAGTGTCTGCACCTAAGAAGACGGCTTCTGAGGACGCCAAGCCAGCACCTGAAACAGTGGAAAATGCCAAGCCAGTACCTGAAGCTGTGGGAAGCATGGAATGCAGCAAAGGCATTTCCCTGGAGCCTGGCATCCAACTGGAGGAGAAGAAACCCTCAGAAATCTCCTTGAGATCTCAGCATTCAAGTGAATTAGAGAAGAGGCTGGATCCAGAGAAGGTGGTGGAGGAAGGTCAAGAGGCTGGCCAGGTAGAGCCCAGTGCTCTGCAGGAGAACCCCAGAGTCGGACCTGAGGCTGCGTTTCTCCATGAAATGGTAAGGTGGACTCACTGCTTGGTCCAGCCAGGTACATTCCTGGTTTTCCCAAGGGCTCCTGGAACACTTAAAGTAGCTTAAAGGGACTTGTGAGACAACCTTTTAATCTGGTCTGGGACTTTTACATTGGATTTTTCAGAGGTCCTGCCATGATGGGAAGGGACCATCCAGTTCAAGATCCCCTAGGATAGACTCAACTCTAAATATTTCTGACCTGAAGTCCATAAACCAGTAGCATGTCTTTGGAATGCAATGTCATCCAACCCTGAAAGTAAAACCTTCTTGTTATATCCCAGTCTTAAACTTAATGACCATTCATGGGGCCTGGCCCTCTTATTCCAGACATCCTTGTCTGCACTTGTTTATAAAAATCTTCTGAGATTTCCAGAACCCATCCTTTCTCTTATGACTTCTGGAGAAGTTAAATGATGCCAGAGTAAAACCTCCTACTGTTTTTAGAGGTGGAATTGTCCAAGGAAGATTTATGGGATGCCCTTGGATAAGATGAATGTGTGAGGAGGTTTTCCGGGGTGCTTAGGGAAGAATGCGGGGGGGTGGGGGGGCAGCTTTGTGACCTAGCAGAGAGTGCCAAAGTGGAAAAGAAATCTCTTTGCTCTACAAACTGATTCCAAGAGCTTGTTTTCCAAGATATACATGAAATGACCAGGTGCTAGGAGTTAAAGCAGTACTGGAGTGCCTGGGTAGGGCTAAGTGAGGGTCCCAGGAAGACACAGTTGCATTTGCTGAGGAGAGGGATCCAGATTTTTTTTTTTTAATGGGCATTAAAATTTGGGAAAGCCCCAGTAGGTGAATGGCATGGCTTTGAGAGCAGAGAAGGAGTGGATTCATGAGAATTTGTGAGAATTGTATGTAAAGACATAACGATTCATTCATTCATTCATTGGAAAACATGTATAGGCCCCTTGCATCAGGTACTTGTTGAGCACTAGATCAGTTCAGTGAACAGGACTGTCACAATCCCTGCCTTCTTGGAGCAGTCTGTAAGGGAAAGGGCCATTAAACAACTAATTGCTAGGATGATATGGAAGTATAGACACATCCTTAGTGCACAGATGGTGAAGTTGCTCAACTAATAACCGAAAAATTGACAGTTCAAACCCACCAGAGATGCCTCCGAAGAAAGACCTGGTGATCTGCTTCCGAAAGGGCAATGCCTTGTAAACCCTATGGAGTACAATTCTACTCTGACACACATTGGGTCGCTGTTAATCAAAATTGACCTGACATCACTGATTTTGTTTTGATTTTTTTTTTTTTCTTTTGGTAGGATCAAGTGTGGGTAGGAGTAAGGAGTTAGGATTAGGACTATGGCTAGGTCTAGGGTAGGCTGCGGCTTCATTTATTGTTAAGAGTTATGATTAGGACTAGAGTTAGTGTTAGGGGGTAGGGGCTGGGCTAGGGCTCTTAGGAGTAAGTCTGGGTCTAGTTTTAAGGTTATAATTAGGTGTAGTTTTATTTATTTTATGTTTTTCTTGAAATCTACTTGATTACCTCTTTATTTTGAGGTTCTATAATTACATTATTCCCTCTTTTTACTTTATGGGTTTTTGTTGTTTCAAACTGGTATCACTGGTTCCCTATTTTCAGTCTTGTAGGTTTATTTTACTTTGAATACTTATATGAGCCCTGGTGTAGCACTGTAAGATAAGCACTGGACTGGTAATGACAAGATCAGCAGTTCAAACCCACAAGGCATTCTTGGAAAGTCTATACATGGCCTCTATGAATCAAAACCAACTAGACAGCACATAACAGTAAACAACATATATATGGGTTGAGTTCTGGGTGATATTGTCATGTATGTTAATGTCAGGTTGTTATCTGCTATTGTTTGCTGTTGTTGGTTCTCTGTTTCAGTTTTTTTGTAAGGTTGTCTGGTTTTTACAAATTATTTTAATTTCTATTTATGTGGAAATGTCCTAATTTTGCCATCATATTTGATGGACAAATTTTCTGTGTATATGATTCATGGTTGGTGATCTATTTTCTTTCAATGATTTCTGTGTACCATCCCATTGTCTTCTTGCCTACCTGGTTTCTGCTCAGAAATCAAAGCTTAGTCTTACTGGTTTTCCTTTGTAGGTAATTTTTGTTTTTTTACGAGCTGCTTCAGGATTCTTTCCTTGTCTTTCGTTTTGATGTTGAATTATATCTTGGTGTTTGATTATATCTTGAAATTTGATTATACCTTCATTTCATCTGCAGTTTTCTCAATTCACTGAATGTACCTAAATATCATTCTTTTAAATTCCTTTAGTAGTTCTGATACCATTTCAGGTGTTACATTTTCTGACTCTGTATTTTGTTTACTTGTTTGAGGCACTCTGTTTTATTTCTTCATGAAAGCTGATATTGTTGTCTCCAAGGCATTGTGGTGTGTGTGTAATTGTATTT